CACACTCACCTCCCGACCCCCGGGGACTAACCACCACCCTGGTCCTCCGCGCACACTCACCTCGTGACCCCCGGGGACTGACCACCACCCTGGTCCTCCGCGCACACTCACCTGGCGACCCCCGGGGACTGACCACCACCCTGGTCCTCCGCGCACACTCACTTCCTGACCCCCAGGGGACTGACCACCACCCTGGTCCTCCGCGCACACTCACCTCGCGACCACCCGGGGACTGATCACCACCCTGGTTCCCTGCGCACACTCACCTCTGGGACCGAGAACCCCCCCCATCACCCTGGTTCTCCATGCAAATTCGCCTCCCGACCCCCGGGGAGTGACCTTTACACTGGTCCTCCGCGCACACTCACCTCCTGACCCCCTCCCCCCGGGGACTGACCACCACCCTGGTCCTCCGCGCACACTCATGTCTGGGACCGAGAATCCCCCGATCACCCTGGTTCTCCATGCAAATTCACCTCCCGATCCCCCGGGGACTGACCACCACCCTGGTCCTCCATCCACACTCACCTCCCGATCCCCCGCCGCAGGGGACTGACCACCACCCTGGTTCTACATGCAAATTCACCTCCCGACCCCCGGGGACTGACCTTTACACTGGTCCTCCGCGCACACTCACCTCCTGACCCCCTCCCCCCGGGGACTGACCCCCACCCTGGTCCTCCGCGCACACTCACCTCCTCACCCCCCAGGAACTGACCACTACCCTGGTTCTCCGTGCACACTCACCTCCTGGCCGAGGACCGTCCTGAGCAGGGCCGCTTTGGACAGTGGGCAGCTGAGGCCGCGGGGGGCGGGAATGGCGCGAAGCGGGGGGCGGGAATGGCGCGAAGCGGCGGCTGGCGGAGGAGAGGAAGGCCCGGGGCTCCGGGACACGCCGGACACGGTGGGACCGCGGGGGCGGCCGCACCGTATTTGGAACCTGCGGTCACCCGCTCGTCAGTGACCATCAATGTAAAGAATAAAGTAAAAAACGCGCCAGAAGAGCAGGAAAGACGGAAGCGACAGCTCATGGGAACGAGCACGCTTCTCTTCCGGCCGCTGCGATTCCTGGAGTCTCAGAAAAAGGGGTCCGGGCGGAAACAAAGACCTAATTTTCCGGTGACGTCTTGAGTTCCGCTGACACTGGAGTTTGGGGTCCTGTTTATTTCCCCTAAACTCTTTCTCATTTAGTCAAAGCGGAAAAAAGAGGTGACCCTCAAGTGGGGGAGGGTTTTCTGACTAAACTCGAGATTTCAAGTACGTAATTAATTGTTCTTATGTGTTCTCTTATCACTACCACTCATAGTGACCTCCCTAGCTCTGAAGACTGGTCCATCCTGAGCCAATCTGTTTTGAAAACATTTATGACCCCAGTTATTGTCTTGATCCATCTCATCTACAGTCTTCCTCAAGTTCACGTCCCCTCTACCCTTCCAAGCATAATATCCTTTTCTCCAAAGATTGATTCCTCCTGCCTTCATCCCAAATATCAAAGCCTCAAACTCCATGCCTCCAGAGAGCATATTGGTTTCACCTTCTCTAGGTCAGACCTGTTTGTAATCTTAGCAGCTCAATATACATCCCCAGCCTCACAAAGTGAAAGGCATTGATTCTTCTCCTGTCATGCTAGGTCATTGTTCCGATGCATGAAATTAACTAAGCACACCACACTTAATTCCTTTCCCACAAACTCATGGACAACCCAGGTCTCCAGGGGAGTAGAGGGGGCAGGTCCCATGTTCAAGAAGTGACCCGATAGAGAGAGAGCAGCGTGCACAAGAGCCTACATTGTCACCTACAAGTGGGTGGAGTCAAAAAACCAAAATCAACCTTCATGGGGTTTTCAGGTAGGGATTGAAGATGTATTATGGCAAATGTATGTGACCCATAGTCCATCATTTGGGAAATCACAGTATGTCCATGAGACTACTGCTATTTTTTTTAGGCTTTGAATGGGCCACAGCTTTACAAGAGGAAAATTAAGAGTATGAAATTCAACATTTAATTGAAACTTCTACTGTGATGGGTCTTCTACCAAGTCTTTTTTTTTTTTTTTTTTCAAGGGCAAGAGGGAATTTATTTCAGATTCGAATCCGGGCCGCGTTCCAAACCGTGTTCATACAACACAGGGAAGATGGCCATGGCCTCTACCAAGTCTTAAAACTGATAATGTTTCTGATTATAATTCTAAGGAAACACAAGAATTTTTTAAAAATAGAACACTCAACTGCTGTGGTGCTGGAGAAGAG